CCTTTTGAGCAGCACCGGGCTCTTTGCTTTTAAAAGTATTTCGACCGTATCGGATAATGTGCCGGCGGTCACGGTCAACCGTTGGGCGGTCGGAGTGTGCGGTTTTTGGGGCCGACCTTTACTAACCCGTCCTTCCTCGGGGGGAGGCAGCATCGCTGCTTCCATGAATATGGACATGCTGGTCGCCTGGGGGAAACACCTTACTGCCTTTACACTCCTGTCGCAGAGGACAGTACGATATTACCCCCGGGCCGCCTCGTAGCACGATTACCCGTAGTACGGGGTCTCGCTGCTCTTGGTCTGGCTACTCCCCTTTGGCCTTTCTGGCATGGTTGCACCTTGTGGAACGAAGTTCCAGTGTAGGTAGCCCGCGGGATCATTGCAGCACTGAAGCCCGACCACCACGTCAAGGTGGCAGCCTTAGGTAGGGCTTTCACAACCTAGCATTCTCACGACCACCACGTCAAGGTGGCAGCCTTAGGTAGGGCTTTCACAACCTAAAAAGCATTCTCACTGTGCCAAAGGCTTCTTTCATCCTGCCGTGTTTGAAGGTGATCGCACCATCAAAGTGAAATTCCAACCTGTGGATATAACAGTAAGATAAATGTGCTGGGCACTAAAAGCAAGTATTCAATCACCTGAAGATGAACACCGCTGGAACTAGAATGCTTTAGACAACCGGAAAGGTGGAGGAGTTCTGTCTTGTTCACGATCACAGTCATGATAAAATCGTGGCCTGCTTAAATACTCCTTGCGCGTGGCTCTGATGTTTCCGTTTTCAAAATACGGGAAATCAGATTGGATCAAAACTTCACATTTGGAGTTGACAGATTTTACGACAATAAAGGCGCATTAGCGAATCAGGAGCAGCGACACTGTGAACGTGACATTCAGTTACTCTTCTAGCTGCATATATTTGGGCAGCATTAAATTGCTGACGACAGTTTTTAGAGGACGATAAAGAACAAAGCCATCCATACAACATTAATCGTACTAAGTTGTTTTACCAACTCTCGCTTCCACAGACATTGTTAAATTTGCAAGCTTCGCACCCTGTTATCTGCTCTCCACATAGAGTAGAACAGCATGTGCCCCGTCAGCCGTGAGCAAATTACTTATTCCTCTCAACTGATGAGCAGAAGAGGTAGCCCGCTCACGGGCCAGCCCAAGAGCTGACACCAAAAGACTAGTTTACTTGTTGCTCACTTAGTTAAGATAAAGATGACTCCCTGATTCACCACTGCAGGTGGCATGTACCTACCTACTTGTTTTTCACCCCCTCACGCAAATA